AGTGTTACCTTGACATCTTTCAAGGGGCTCGGAGGACTTCCGGGGTCACTACAGGAAGAAGTGTATCTAGATACCAAATGCCACTTGGGGTCATTTCAGTAGCTCCTCGGGGCTGTAGGCCACGCGCTCACCCCAGTGGGTGTGGCCTCGCAGGTAGTGCCAGGCCAGTCCGCGGGCAGCCTCCAGGGCTGAGCTGGTTTTCAGACCGCTTGTTCCACGTGGGAACGCTGAAGCCTCGGTTAAAATAGTCTCTTCCAAAGGTTGTGTTTATTTTTAAAGTCAGATTGAAAGGAGTTACACCAGCATTTCCGGGCGTGGCTGGCATAGGAGTGAGGTGTGTGCTGAGCCCTGAGCGGGAGGTTTCTCCCGTTTAAATCGCTCACAGCCCTTGGCACTGCCTGCTTGTGGCGCCGACTAGGGAAGCCTGGTCAGCAGTGGGGGTGAGTGTCGGCTCCCCTGTGCCCAGCTCTGGGCCAGGCCGGGCGGGCGGGATGCCCATAGGCCTTAGCTGGGTGCGCTTTCTCTTCTCAAGGTGAGTGAGCCGTGGCTGCAGCTGCCGGCGTGCACCCCAATGATGTGCTTAATGTTGGCGAATGTGAAGTCCTCTCCCGGGTGTTTCCAGAGGCCAGGGCACCCCGCCTGTGGGGTGGGGAGCCCCCTGCTGGGACCCCACAGCCCTCACTGCCCGCAGGTAGTTGTGTGTGATGCTTTGTTTCCTTAATTGAAGTAGTATTTTGGTGGACTTCACATTTATAGTAAGTTTTATAATAGATTTTATAATTACCAGTTTTCAAAAATCACTTTATTTATAATTTTTTCAGGAGATAAATCTCCCCCTAAACTTGAACCATCAGATGCATTACCTCTTCCTTCAAACTCGGAGACTAATTCAGAACCACCAACCCTCAAACCAGTAGAACTCAACCCAGAGCAGAGTAAACTATTCAAAAGAGTCACATTTGATAATGAATCACATAGCACTTGCACTCAGAGCGCCCTGGTAATCGGACACCCTGCAGAGCCCACCCTCGCCTGTAGTGGCGCTGCGCCGGCGGCGGCCTCCGCGGGGGCGGAGCCAGCAAGCGATGTAAACAGACGCCCTTCTGTTCTCTTCTGCAAATCGAACAGTGTAAGCCCCCCAAAGTCTGCCAAGAACACTGAGACCCCGCCAGCTTCTCCTCAGCTAGGGACCAAAACCTTTCTGTCTGTAGTCCTTCCGAGGTTGGAGACTCTTCTGCAGCCAAGAAAAAGGTCGCGAAGCACCTGCGGCGACTCCGAGGTGGAGGCGGGGTCCCCGGGAAAGCGCCTGGACACAGGTAAATGCTGCGGGCCTCGCCGGCCCTTCTCTTCTCCGGGGTCAGAGGGCACAGTCGTGGGTGCACGTATTTCAGTTTACTGTCCACAGTTCTCTTAATTTCCAGATGAGAAGACAGATGGCGCATTTTTTCTTTGAAAACCCCTAACTGTAGGTCTGAGGGTGCATTGCGGGGTGGCTGCTGGCCACGTGGGCCTGGGTGGGCGGTCCTGCTCCTCCCTCGGACTGTGCACTGCGAGAGAGCCGAGGGAGAGCTGGAGGCGCTCATTTGCATGTCTTGGGCGCGCAGGGGGCTGGAAGGAGGCGCGGGAGCTCTTCTGCAGCCTGTGCCTCCCCCGCGACTGCAGCCGAGTGTGTGTCACCGAAACTGGCGGGACTGTTGTCCCCTCGTGGCTCCACGATGGCCGTGCCTCTGGGAGGCGCCGGTCCTGTGTCTGACGCCTCCTTCGGGAGGTGTGTGGACATGCTTGTCCCGTGGGTTCTGTCTTGGACCAGAGCCTGGTCTGTGTTTCTTACTGGTCCACCTGGTGCGTCCAGACACTGTCTCTTGGCTGTCCTGCTGTCAGGGCACCTTCTCAGTTCAGCTGGAGGAGCAGAGGCCGGGTGGGGGCGAGCCATCTGCGTCCCGAGCCTCCCGGCGGGGCCGGTGGGGGGTGGAGGTGGAGGGCCGTCCCCGCTTGCGCTGAAGGTGCCCGTGGAGGAGGCGGTCCAGCAGGTGTTTCTGGTGCTGGTTCTGCACTCGGCAGACACTCATTCTTGCTACCGAAGTAACTTCTTATGAACGTCATTGAAACGCAGGGAACTCTCACACGTGCTCTTCGTTTCATAGACATTCTCACCCGTGGCCCCTCTCTTTTCATGGATTGATACCAGGTTGGATTCTTTAGTAATTTGTTAAAACCATCGAGTGTCTGAGCCACACGAGCTCCTCAGCTTCTCAGACACAGGTGAAGGATGGACGCTCGCTTCAGTGCGTGGGGAAACCCCCCCCCCCCCTGTGCCCTGGCCTTTCTTGGGCCCTCGGGCCGCTTGTTTGCAAGTGCTCTGAGACTGCTCGGAGGGGCAGGAGGGGCAGTCGGGGGCAGTCACTGTGTGTCGTGGCTCCGGGCACCAGGCCCTGCCTTTGGCTCCCGGGTCTGGGGCGCCTATCCCACGCCACACCCTCTGCCCGCCACCCAACTGCAGCGCACGTGCCGGGCACTGCTGGCCCAGCACCCACCGAGAAGCTGGTGACCAGAAGACCAGCCAGCCCTGCGTTGGCCTCACTGACCTGTTGGGTCTGGCTGGAGCCGTTGGCAAGGGTCCACCAGCCGGCGTTTGTGGCGCGCAGGGCGCTTGCACTCGGTCACCGGATGTCCCTCTCCCGCTCTCCACGTCTGAGGGGAGGGTTTTGCACAGGTGACCGTGGCATGGAGGAGTCTGTGCCCTGGCCCTGGAAACGCAGTTCTCTGCTTTCTTACTCTAGAGCAGGGGTGGGCAAACTTTTTGACTCGAGGGCCACAATGGGTTCTTAAACTGGACCGGAGGGCCGGAACAAAAGCATGGATGGAGTGTTTGTGTGAACTAATATAAATTCAAAGTAAACATCATTACATAAAAGGGTACGGTCTTTTTTTTTTTTAGTTTTATTCATTTCAAACGGGCCGGATCCGGCCCGCGGGCTGTAGTTTGCCCACGGCTGCTCTAGAGTGTCCGCAGTCCGTGGACGTGCGACGAGGCCGTAGCTCTTGTGCGGCCCGGGAGCCTCAGTTGCTCGTGGGCAGAGTGCCGGCCAGCGGTGACCACCCGTCCATTTCGGGCTTCACCCACTCGGGCTGCGGCTCCTGGGTCTCTGGCTCTAAGCTTGCAGCTTTCGCAGTCGGGACTGGAAATGCCCTGGTCCTCTGATCATCCCCACATTCATCGGCGCGCTCGGCCTGCCTTGTAGGGAGTCTGGGTTCCACTGCGCTGCAGGGTCTCCAAGTTAGATACAAACGGACGCGTTCATTCCAGGACGCAAGTTAGAGCACAGCCGATGTGTCCACTCAGGACACCGCCCGTGGGCTCCGTGGGAAGCGCGGGAGGCGTGGGCTGCTCTTGCCTCCAGGAGGTTAGCACACCGCCTCGGCTCTGCGGTCCACAGAGCTCTGCTCTGCTGGCTCCTCCCGTGGCCACGGGCTTGGCCAACAGCGACCCCGGCGGGACTTCTGTGCTGCTTTTCTCTCGTTCCTGCCGCGATTCCTGTGTGCACGTGGGGGGGGCGGGGGGGCGGGGCGTGAGGGACAGAGGGGAGAGGGACTCTTCGCGTCCTTGGCCGTTCAGGGCAGCGGCTGGTCTGTTGATGTCTTCAGTCAGACTAAGTGGCCTTTTCACTGTTTTCCAGGTTCTCATTTAACTACTAACATGCTGGGTAGCTCCCTCTTGGGATCCTAATTGTTTTCTCTTGCTCAACTTGGATGGAGTTCGGCTAAGTGGTCGCTCTGGAACGCAGGGCGATGGCTGTGTCTTGATTTCACATGATTCTTGGATGTCATTGGAAGCACCGGCTCAACCACCTCCAACACTAACACCAGCACGTGGAGCCCGGCCCCCTGTCAGCCCGGCGCGCGGGAGGGACCGCCTCCCCGGGGACAGGTGTGAGCCTTAGAGTCAGTTGTGGCTCAGATCACCTCTCGCACCTGGAGGATTCCCTGCACAGATTCCGATCGCGTCCTCAGCAGGCGCAGGACCAGGCCTGACAGGACCCGCGTGCGCCACCTGACAGCCAGGAGACCGGGTGCTAACCCTGTCCCTCCCTCCCGCCCTCCCTCCCCCTTCCTGCTGGTTCTCCTGGCCGTCCGCTGCAGGGAGGATTTTTTTTTGGCGTCTCGGGCTGGGCTAGGCACAGCAGGGAGGTTGGGATCTTACGTGCTGGTTTTATCGAAAGGTTGAAACACACACACAACATGCAGTTCTCTTGCTGAGAGTGAAAGTCACGATGTGCGGACGAGGTGATGGGCTTGCCCCACCGCTCGCGAGACTGAGGCAGTTGGTCCCCCCCCCCGCCTGCGGAGCTGGCCCCTTGTTTGATCCCATGTTGTTCTGCTTTGGGGGCCGCAGGTCGCCTGGGAGGAACGCTGGTGTCCGCAGCACGTGGCCCAGGGTGGATGGTGGTGACCACAGCCCACGCTTTGCTTTGCCTCATCAGCTGCCAACCAGAAGGTTTTTTAAAAAATTATTTTAATACGCCTGGGAGGAACGCTGGTGTCCGCAGCACGTGGCCCAGGGTGGATGGTGGTGACCACAGCCCACGCTTTGCTTTGCCTCATCAGCTGCCAACCAGAAGGTTTTTAAAAAAATTATTTTAATATCTTATTGATTTCAGAGAGGAAGGGAAAGTGAGAGAAACATCAATGATGAGAGAGAATCATTGATCGGCTGCTTCCTGCACGCCCCCTACTGGGGATTGAGCCCACATCCTGGGCATCTGCCCTGACCAGGAATTGAACTCTGATGCTCTATCCACTGTTCCTAGGTCGATGCACAACTGCTGAGCCACAGAAGCTGGTTTATAAAATGAATATTTTATTGATTTTAGAGAGGAAGAGAGAGGGAGAGATAGAAACATCAATGATGAGAGAGAATCATTGAGTGGCTGCCTTCTGCACGCGCCCCACTGGGGATTGAGCCTGCAACCCAGGCATGTGCCCCTGGCCGGAATCGAACCCGGGACCCTTCAGTCCGCAGGCTGAGGCTCTGTCCATTGAGCTAAATCAGCTAGGGCCAGAAGGTTCTTTAAGGTGCAGTGAGGTGTGGTGGGGTGGGTCTGGCTGTCACACCCGGGGCTTGGGGCCCTGGCCGTGCAGGCCGTTCCAGCTGAAGGCCTGGCCTTGGTGAGCTTTCTCTGCAGAGTCGCCTCAGCCACCCCACGGGGCACCTCTTCCACATGTGGCCGGGGTGAGCCCGGGAGGCCTGGAGGGGGTGGGGGAGCCCGGCCGGGGGCCTCAGCTTGGCCAGGCCTTTGGGGGCAGAGGAAGGCTTGTGTTTGCTGTGTCTCCTGTGACCCCGGTGGACCCGAGCGCGGTGCTGGTGGAGGACATGGCCGGGTTCGAGAGCCGCCCTGTCCCCTCCTGCGCCTTCAGAACGCCTCGTGTTGCCATGTTGCTGAGCGTCGGCTCCACTGGCCACGTGGTGGCTGCAGCTCGGGGCCGGGCCTCCTGCTGCTGGGGGTGCCCTCGGCCTCCTGTCTGCAGACCTGCAGAGCCTGCCTGACCGCGCGTCATTTTGTGTCCTTGCAGGGTCTCTGAGGCTCGGCCTGGCTGCTGCCCAGGGAGCCCCGTGGGGAGAGTGACAGGTGCTCAGGGACACTTCTCGGGAAGAACGGGGGCGGGGGGGGTGCTCGCCCCGCTGCGTGCCGCTGTGTCCTTGGACAGAGGGGAGGAGAGGCGCTCGTGCCTCAGGCTGAGGCCTCCCCACCCCTCAGCCTTCCCCCTCGTGTTGCCCGGGAGCCTGGCTTCAGGTGGTTGTCCCCAAGCACGTCGTCTGCGTGGACGTCCCGAGGGTGGGCTCGCTGTGTGTCTAGGTGCCAGGCTTCTCCGTCCCGGACTCTCCTCTGCTTGGGCGCCTGCTTGGCCTGCGCTTGGCCAGCTGTCCGTGAGGGCGCCACCTGCTCTTGTGCTTCCCGCGCGGCTCCCACCTGGTGCAGGGCCCAGCCTGCTCATCCACACCCGAGCTTGTCCCAGGGCCTCCGGGTGCAACTCGCCACCACGGCTTTGACAGGCCTCCGGCCCCGCCTCCTCCTTCTCTGCCTGGAAGGCGTCGTCAGCTCCTTTGTCAGGAGGAGCGAATGGCCGAGGTCCAGGAGGTGGGGGCGCGGCCGTCAGCTCCATGTGGCGCCAAAGGGAGAGACGTTGGGACTGTGTGTCCTTGTCGTCGGACTGTGGCCACAAGGTGTGTCTGGACCAGGCCCGGGTCTGGTGATGCTTAGGGCTTCCTCCGAGGCCACAGGTGGTGGCCGGTTCCCTTGCTGGTGCTGGGCCCGGACGTGCGCCTGTGGCCGTGATCTCTTCTCCCACCTCGGATCTTGCGCACTGGGCTCCGTCCATCTGTCCGTCCATCTGGGTGGCCGTCTCTGACTTGCTGACTGCCTTGGGGGTCTTCCCCCGACAGTGCCCTGAGGTGGAGAGGCAGGCTGTCCGTCCCCTGGCTCTCCGTGCTCCCCGAGAGACGTTGGGACTGTGTGTCCTTGTCGTCGGACTGTGGCCACAAGGTGTGTCTGGACCAGGCCCGGGTCCGGTGATGCTCAGGGCTTCCTCCGAGGCCACAGGTGGTGGCTGGTTCCCTTGCTGGTGCTGGGCCCGGACGTGTGCCTGTGGCCGTGATCTCTTCTCTCACCTCGGATCTTGCGCACTGGGCTCCGTCCATCTGTCCGTCCATCTGGGTGGCCGTCTCTGACTTGCTGACTGCCTTGGGGGTCTTCCCCCGACAGTGCCCTGAGGTGGAGAGGCAGGCTGTCCGTCCCCTGGCTCTCCGTGCTCCCCGGGGCGTGGGCTGGAGTCGGTCTTGTGGCGTCTCATGCGGCATCAGCTGCTTTGCCAACATGGTTGGTCGCCGCACGCAGATGTCAGATTTCAGCACGAGCGCAGCACCCCAGCCAACGGCCCAGCTGCTGCTGGTCAATGTGAGTTCGTTTTAAAGGTAAAAGGACGAAGCGATGCTGGAAGCCAGTGGGGTTGACGCCCACTCAGTGCAGCTGGTGCCTCTGAGGCCCGTGGGAACAGCAGGACGCATGCCCTTTCTGCACGTGGACTTCTCAGCTCCGTCAGGGTTACTCATCTCCCTTGTTTTAAAGTGAGTCACGCGCACTGAGCCTCTGCAGGAAGTACACAGGCGCACCTGGGGGACACAGTCGAGGTCCAGACCCACACACAACAGGGGTCGCCAGGAAGTGATCGCTTGAATGCCCTGGTCCCAGTGCCCACAAGGACGGTTCGCCTCACACCGTAGTCTACTAAGTGTGTGATAGCGTGCGTCTAGCAACCACAGTGCATCCCTTAATTAAAAATCCTTCATCAGAGTTAGCCATCTTCTGAGCAAGCCGCCATCTCTGTGCTGAAGGGTCTTGTGTGGCGGTGATGGCGGCTGACTGTGAGGTGGTTACGGAGGCTGGGGCGGTGGCGGCTTCTCAGAGTAAGACAGCAGTGACGTTCTCCGCATGGCCGACTCCTCAGCACAGCCTCCCTGCGGCTGCAGCATCACCCACAAACCTCTTTCAGAACTGCAGCCCGTCCTCAAACCCAGCACTGGTCTGCCAGCCACGCTCAACGTGACGCTCTAAATCCTCTGTCGCCATCTCACCGTCCTCACAGCCTCGTCACAGGGTGGGCTCCGTCTCCCGAAACCCCTCTCTCTGCTCCTCTGCAAGCTCCTCCTCATCACTCAGGCTCTGTCCTGAGTTTGCAGCGATTCAGCGCGTCCTCAGGCTCCACGTCCTGCTCCTTCTGCTGCTCCCACCACACGTGCAGGCACTTCCTCTCGGAGGTCTGGAGCCCTCAGATCGGCTTCTCCCAGACGCCTGTGACTGCCTCCCAGGAGTCCCTCAGGGTCTCAGTGGCAGCTGGGACGGGGAGACCTTTTCCATTTATTCTCCCCGATCCATCAGAGGAACCACGACGGCAGCGATCGCTTACAAATGTGGTTTTTCTTCCCAGTGAGACTTGGGAGTCAAAGTTAGTCCTTGACCCAAGAGCTGCAGAAAGGCATGAAAACAACATTCATCTGGCCCGTCTCCCCCAGCGCCCCTGGTGACCAGGCGCCTTGTCGCGAGCAGGAAGGTTAGGGAAGAATCCTTTTTTCTGAGCAGCAGGTCTCCACAGGGGCTCACACTATGCAGGAAGCCGTGTGGCACATTCAGACACAGGTAGAGCAGACGGAGCATCACTCTTACCGGCCTAGGATTTTCTAAATGGAAGTGAGCACTGGCTCCAGCTTAAAGTCACAGCTGCATGAGCTCCTAGCAGGAGCCGCCTGTCCTG